GTGACTTGCGCTGCATCTGCCGCACTCCCCCCTTGCGTGGGCCCGGTGCCATGATCAAGTCAAGAAGACCTGAGGTGGGAGACGGGGCATGTGGCTGGCGCGACCAGAACTGCCCCTTAGTTGAGGGTCATAAAGACTACATTAAAAAGGAGCCATTGCAGCCTGTTGTTGAATGAATCGGCTTCATGGATGTCGCGGATAGCGGCGGCCCATTAATGGTGATCGGAAGCGAGCTCCTCGCAAATTTTAACCGTCGGTGGTTTGCGCGGGACATGGCCAAACCATTGCAATCGGCGATGCTGGATGTATGATGCTAAACTCGATAATTGGAAACGCCCGTGATATAGCTCAACATTGGAAATTCAATCCTGCTAGGACTTTTAAGATGCGTCGAAAACACCAACGGTCGAAGACTTCGAACGATACCATGTCTGCCTTTTTGACTGCTCATGTTTCGCAAGAAAATACTAACGTCGGTCTGGTGGATGCTCAGTATATCAACAGCTTAGTACGTAAGCTGATGTCTGAGCGAGACTAGAGTGGTCTAGAGAAGATATTACGGCCAAACACAGGGTCTGTACTACGTCATTGAAGAAAGCAGACAAACCTTAGTGTGGCAGAAAAACGCCGATATTTTTCCTTCTTAATCAGATAACATTGCCGGTTGGCCATTTCTGGTTCATTAGCCGTTGTCAGCCAGTCATACCGGTCAACCCCAAGTGGTGCCCCACTCGAGGCTCGAACCCGTAACCCTTTTTCGATCAGAATTCCAACAGTCTAACCTTTGAGCCACAAGTCAGATGTCTTGCCGATTTAGATGGGGAAGCGGGGAGAACGGTCCGCAGCCTAGGGTATGCAGAATTCGTTGTCTTCGGGCAATTTTCGCCTGATGCAATGGCATTGCAAACATATTGTGGGGACAGTCTATAAAAGGTGGCTCTGGTGTAGACTTATTGCTCATACCGACGTCGTGGACATCCTCGCATCAGTGGAAACGGCACAGAAAAGCCCGCTCCCAAGCCTGAATCGCTCCAATCTCATGCTATACCTCTGTGCTGTACCTCTAATATTGGGTCCTTGCGCCTGCGGTGGAGTGTGTCCACCTCAGTAGATCTGTGGTGACGGCCGTCCCTTTTGGCGGTCTGCATACCAAACGAAGTCTTAGCGTCAATATCCCTTCTCCACGCATCATTTCTGCTAAAGCAGATTGTTCAGCATATGTATTAGACCTTTGGGCGTTTTTTACTCATCAGTTGGTGTCATTTTTCGTACTCTAACCGTTGTCATCTTTCTCCTCACAGAGTGCAATTCAGCAGTCGATTGCAACGCTGCCACCCTCAACTCTAGTCGGTCTCATTACCTTTGGACGAATGGTACACATTCACAGACTCAACAGCGGCCCCATCGCTAAGTCCTGGGTTTTCAAAGGCACCAAGGACTACACGGGAGCCCAAATTCAGGTAGGTCTGTCTGACTGACCTCGGGTTTTCCCTTCCCCCTCTCCCACACGTAACTAAACTGGTGCAGCAAGTGCAGCCGCGCATACGACGGAAAGACTTTTCTCGTTCTGGGAAATAGCATGTACGCTTGTCTGCAAACGTAGCATAAAATCTTATCAGTCCACTCGCCTGACCTAAAAACCACTTAGTATGCATTTAGTTTAAAATCGCATTTTCACTTCTTTTGACGTCACAATTCCAAAAGCTACACTTGTTTCCTAAGTAGCGTAAACAAAATTTTGCATATTTTCACTTGTTTGTGCCAGCCCACACGCGTCTTTATTTCAACTTAATTTTGCCCACTGTAGATACCGTTGCACTTCAAACAGACAAGTTTACCGTTTAGGCTGTCCACTACTTTGGATCTAATCGTAACGGAGACCGTAAGCAACGTATCCTACTCTTTCGGGTTAACAGCCATTGCCGAGTGGCAAGCAGACGCTTCCGAATAGTTTGGTCTGCGTTAAGAGGCTCCTAGTTATTCATCCTATTTGTATCCACAAGGGAGCCTGGGTCAACTAGCAGGTAATCATGACTGCCGTTTTCGATAGTCAGTTGTGAACATATTGGCT